TTCTTGGAGTCCGAGATGATGGAGCGGAGCTTCTCGATCTTCTTTGGCCGGGGGTCCTTGGACATGCGAAGCTCTCGTGCGCGCTTGGAGAGCGTGTCGACCAGAAGACCTTGTCGCCGCATCAGTTCGCGCCGTTCTGAACCGTTGGGAGCCTGGAAAGAAAGATATGGGATTCCAGCATCGCTAGTCAGAAGAACGACTTACCTCGAGAATTTTGTTCATGAACTTGAACACAACTCGGCCATACATCTTCGCCATCACACGATCCTCAAGGGCAACCTCAACCATAAGGTACCAATATAGCCTGTTCCCCAGCACCGAGTTCGTCACGCCCCTCGCAATGAGGAAGTCGGTCAAGCCGCTATCCTCGTACGATATCGCACTCGTCGTTGAACGTGCCGACCGTTGCTCGCTAACTGCACTCTCGAACTTAAGCGCCTGTACAAGTTGTAGAAGATACAGCAGTAGTTCCTGCACCTGTCGTTAGCATAGCATCGTGTGCAGTTTGGGGTGGACTCACATCATCATCTGCCCCCGTAAGCTGCTTCACGGCAAAAGCCCTGACGCGTGAGTCAACCGTACCGGGACCAAGTAGTTCCAACGCATCGTCCGTGTCGATTTCGGTCCACTGCGGCAGAAGCTCCTCCACCGCCTGCTTAACCTCCGACGAATCGCGCCAAGTCACCGACTTCAGGAACTTGGTGAGCCCGCGCTTGTCGCGCACAAGGTAGAAGCGGAATTTCCAAATAAGGTCTTTTTCCTCAGACGTGAGCGGCTGACTTGGTGAGTAATTGAGAATTTCCTGTGCAGCCTGTGAGATCAAAAATAGTAAAAGGAGGAGGAAGAAAACGCACGCCGAGTTCGTCCCGGATCTTGGCGTTGGGTTTGAGCTCCCGGTCGTATGGGCTGCTGCGGTGGCTGCGGACGAGCCGCCTGTGTTTGTCTTCAACGGGGTTCTCGCGGAGCGCGTCTGGATCGCTGATGCTCCATAGATTTGAATCGGCTAAGAGCGAGGAAGAAATGGACGCTGCGGCATGTGCTACGGCGTGTGTTTGAGATGTCGTCGCTGGCATCGGGGGCGTACTAAGGTGGGATTCCTGGATGCCACGTGTCAATAAAGGAGCAGTGCTAGAGCAGATCGACTTACGGGTTCGTTGAATACAACAGGGAAATCGAATCGAGGTAGGTCAATATATAGAAACAGGTTATGTGATTTCTCCGTCTCGGACTGTTTGCAGAGGTTAGTGGTAATGGTATTCAACTGTACGAGACAGCTTACGGCGTGGATTTCCTCCATCTTGCGAAATGCCATCTTGTCTAGCCAATCCGACTTTGGGAGGTCACCACGCTCATACTTCTTCACAAGCTACGACGTGGGTTAGACAAGTGCTGCTTCAAGGTAAGGGGGACTACCTTTTCCAACCGACCCATTTCGTCTCGGGCCTCGAGCTTGCTTGGCGTGGTTGTCTCGATAGACCCGTCTGCTTCGATGCCTGGCCATAACAATAATCGATGTTTGCCTCGTCGCAGCGTCCTGAAATCGTTATTAACAGTGACCGCGCACCACACCGGTGCAAACTCACCACTTCTTCCCAAACAAACGAAATGTCGATCCTCCAACAGGCGCGGCAGCTCGTGGTCCAGCAATGTCCCATACGGTGAACGTGATATGAGAGCTGAGAGGAAGGTCGCAATATCGTATTGGTAGCGTTATCCATTCGTTCCAACTGGATAGCGAGATCAGCTGCGGTGAAACATGCCATTCAACTGCACGAACGTATAGCTGTTCTTGAATGCCTTGAAGGAGGTTCGAAACGGTATCGTGAGGGGTTTGTTATCCGCGATGAGTTGGCAAGTAACATAGAGATCTGAAAGCGTTCTTGAGCCGAAAGTTATTGCAAACCTTGTAAGAATGTAAGGAAGGGCTCGTACGAGGACTGGACGCCGTGGAAGCGTAGTTCTGGCTTCTCTAGCACCTCCGTGAACGATCGTGGCTGCCTGACTCCCTCGAGTTGAGATCTACATCTCTCGGTTCAGATTCTGAGAGCACCAGGAGGAATGCAGAACTGTAACGGACATCCGGAACGTCACTGGCAGCTTCAAGTCCGATAACTTTGCAAAAGTAAAGTCATCGCGATTGTCCTTGTCCATACGTAGAGCTTCTTATGCTAATGACTTGAGATTCGCCAGACGGAGCCAAGACAGGGGGGATGAACCACGGGAAGATGATGGTATGTGGACGAGCGCGTGAGGTGAAGCGCAGCTAGCCTTACATAAGCACTACGCGTCCTGCTTGCGCGTCGACCCTCTTCATCTTGTATCCTTCTGCATTTGACCATCATGGACCATTTTCCTACCAACTGGGGCCGGCCAGTCAGTAAATTCATCGGGTCCTATCTGAAGCCTTACTGATCAGGATCACAGAGAAATGACGCTTATGATGCCTATGGCACATATCCCATCGCCCAAAGGCCGTATAATGGCCCTAAGGATGCTTTCGCCCAGGGAATTCAACACACACAGTACGTGATCTGCTACTTTACGCTTGGTACCATCTACTCACCTTGACTTTGGTGCAGACAACCTATCGTAACCGGAACCAGTGTGCTTGCGCTCAAATACAAGGACGGGGTCATGCTGGCGGCAGACAACCTCGGTGCGTCGCTACTCGTGGATTCTTCGTGGATCTCTTTGGTTCCATTGCTGAAACATACCTCCAGCATCCTACGGCTCGCTTGCGCGCTTCAAGGACATCCAACGTCTCCAGGCTATTGGCGCACACACCGTTATCGGTGCAGGCGGCGACATGTCCGACTTCCAATACATCCAAGCCATGCTCGACGAGCTCATCATCGACGAATTCACCGCACAAGACGGCCACACACTCGGTCCTGCTGAGATCCACGAGTACCTCGCACAGGTTATGTACGCTCGGCGCTCCAAGATGAACCCGCTATGGAATGCTATCCTTGTCGGCGGTGTGAAGGACGGAAAACGGTATGTGCCCTTCGGAATGTTGTCGGATTGTGTCATAATGCAATAATAACAGCTTCCTGTCCTTTGTGGATTTGCTCGGTACGACCTACTCCGCGTCAACGTTGGCCACAGGCTACGGTGCGCACATCGCGTTGCCGTTACTGCGAACGGCTGTCGAGGGCAAGGAGGACATTCTCAATGAGGAAGAGGCGCATAAGATCCTCGAACAGAGCATGAAAGTGCTCTACTACCGTGATGCGCGGAGTATCGATAAGGTCAGCATCTGACGTCCATATTTCCCTGCTACAACATCGCTGACACACTGTGGCTTCGCAGTACCAAGTAGCAACCATCACAGCAGAGGGCGTCAGTATTTCCGAGACCCGTCATCTCGAGACGTCCTGGTCTTTCGCGGAAGGCATCAGAGGATATGGAGCTCAGACACAGTAATATTTTGCCTTGCATTTTGTGTATTGTATCGTACTGTAGGTTGCTACGCCGTATCACAGTTCCTTTCATATTACCGCGGTTGGTGAGTTGACGGCGCGGTCTTTTCGGTGGAAGCAACCTTCTTCACCTTCACTCGTTGCGGTTTTGATCAAGTGGCGCTTGAATCTTTCTGACTTTCCCTAACTCGCCAAATCGTCGTCGTCAATAACGACGAAAGCAGAAAACAAAAAATGGGGGCACCGCGGATTGAACGCGGGACCTTCAGAATCCAAGGTACTTCAGTCTGCTGCTCTCCCAACTGAGCTATGCCCCCGTTATATTGCTGGTTCATTGAGATTCTCCAGTAGACTTAAGTGCTGAACAACCCCATACGCCACACTTGTCTCCAGCAGCAAGTCACCTTGTCCTTTGGTGACTCGACACCGTATTGTGGGAGCTCGATGTTGTCGACGAGAACCCGGGCGTAGAACCCGTTCAGCTTAAGCATCCTAATTGTGGAACGCAGGCGGAACCGATTTTCGAGGTAAAAGACTTGGAGCCGTGGGAGCAGTGGCGATCAAGCTTCTCGAATCCCCGCCTTACGGCAGGTCGTGTTGACGCCGTAAGAGGCCGTAAGCTATACTGTGAAGCACTCTGAGTATAGGAAATTACTCGTAGAAAGGTAAGGGAATCGAGGGTAATCGTAGAATCCGAAAGTATGCTAGCTACACGTGTCCGTCATGACGTCCAGGAAAGGAGTATTGCCTTTGGTATCGAGTAACATCAAACCCGAAGGTACAGACCATGTCAAGTCAGTGATCTCGCCTAACTGTTCTGCGATGCGCTTCGGTCTACCAGGCTCCCGTTTAACCTCGACTTTCGGCTCCAGTTCTACACCCAGGTGTTGGGCATGAGTGCACGGATACTAAAGTGAAGCAGACGGCCGATTTTATCGCCAAATATTGCCTGCAGGCTTCCAGTGCCCATGCAGCTTTGTAAATCAAACTGCTTTTGTTATTGTGGCGTAGCCTCGAAAACTCATCGCACTGAACAGGTCAAAATTTCCACCCGATAAAAGCATGAAATTGCGTGCCACTAGTACTCTTAAAACCCCATAGCAGCGGTAAACTTTCGTCACAACACAGTACGTCCATTATGTCTTCATCGACCAGGTCATATAGAACTTCATGTAAAGGCTGCCAACCTCAGGGTCGTCAACTTCTTCAATTAGCCTTCGCTGCAGTTCTGCAGTGAGGCCAGCAGTCACGAGCTCCGGTTTCACTGCTTGATACACCCTGCGCAAAGAGGACTCCATCACACGGCCCACAGCGTTCAAGTTGGGATCTAGTGAGAAACATGGCAGATCGGCTCACTGGCAGAGACACACAATACAATGCGCATACCTTTGCTTCCTCCTCGGAAGGGGCAGTGGATTTCGACGGCATTGACCTTCCTACGCAAATCGTTGCCGTTCAGCGGCGCGACAAACACCGGATGGTACTCACGAGAATTGGTTTGTGCGTCTTAATGCCGGGGCAAGCTTCGAACCCGCCATGGGGTCAACCTTTTGTGCGACGTTGTAGGCGTTGTAGACGTCGAAGAATTCTTGCGTGCCAGGCGGGACGTTTCCCGACTCTTCGAACACAAAGTGATCAACGTCTTCCACAAGCAACCACCCTCCAGGCTTCAGGAGCGTGATGACGCGCTCGAGAATGTCTTCCCAGTCAGGCAACTATTAATAGTGAGCATTGAGAAAAGTTGTTGATAGCTTTATCTCAACAAGTAAATGACGCACATGGATGAAGAGCAATCGAGCATGGATAATGTCAAAGGTGCCAGGCTTAAAAGGAAGCTCCTTCTCTATGATATTGACCTTTTGAAATCTGACGTTCGGAGGAAGAGGGCGCGGCGGTAGTGGCGATATATCTGTCGCTACTACTGTAGCATTGGGATAGGTCTCGGCTGCTTGGATGGCCCTTGAGATAGAAAGGTTGACTCCGATTGAGCGGTTTCCGTGTGTCAGACTAGAGAGTTGGCAACGCACCAGGCTCCTGAGCCGGCACTTGGAGCAAATACGGCGTTTAAATTATTTCTTAGCAAGAGAGAGGTCGTTGGCCTCACCCGATTTCCAGGATCTGCTCGGCGTTCTCAACGAGTGGCGCATATGACAGCTTGTGGTCAAGGTAAGCCTTCCATCCATTGTGCAGATCGTCTAGCCTGGAGAAAAGAGAGATGGATCGTTAGATCAACTACTGCTGGTGGTTGCTAAGTTAGAATATGTACGAACCTCTCCCATTCTGAGGCATCGTTCTGGATGGAGGTGTATAAGGGTATGCCCTGTTGGATAGGGCAGTCACACTCACCGGAAGCGTATATGGCGCAGCCTCAGTTTGAAATGAGCGAGCCACGATGTTTGACATTGAGGTGGTAGCAGGACCGAGGTAGTAGTACACCTGATCACTTCGAATGCCGCTGTAATAGACATCCAGCCGAACATACCCGAGAGCCAATCAAACTGTCTGCCAGTGCGAAGATCCTGTCCATGGGTAAAATGATTAGATCTCTAAGCATAGAAAGTAAGCCTTGAAACGACACGGAGCTTGCTGGTGTGAGTAAGTAGTGGATAGGCTGACGGTGCGAGCCAGTAGAGTCGGATCCAGCGGCAGACTTATACAGCCAGGCCGGTAAGTAGTAGGAGAACGAGGCCAAGTCGGCAGCCTGGGCCCGGGATCAAGAGCCCAGCGTGTCTGATTTAGTTCTGTCGTCTTGAGCCTAGGTGACAGGCACACATATGGATATGGTCAAAGTCGAGCTCTCACCAAAGACTCCGCGGAAAGGTGTTTATCGTCGACGGCGGTTGTGGTGGTGACAGTCGTTCATCCTGAAGAGGTTCAGTCGGACCAACATCACAGAAAAGTATTTCCAACTGAACTGCAGCATGATTATATGATGATTTGATAACTTCGAGTGCACAGTGGTGCACTTCGTTCGCTGAGCGAAACTAAACGCCGCTCTGTTATGTTTGAATCTACATATATGTATGTGAAACTGTCCAAACATCCATCCATCCACGCACCACCCGTTCGTTCACTCGGGACGTCCGAGCTTCGCTAATGCGCGCTCACCCTGCTCGAACCACTCTTCGCGCGTTATCCAGAACTCGCGGTTCTTCATGATATCCGCGAGAACAGCACCGTCAAGGAACACCATGTGTTTCCGGCGAGGAGGATCTTCGATCTTGATCTTGAATTTCTGTGGATGTCATGAATGCATCAGCCGTCGGTGGGGAGTGAACGAGATGAGTCAGGAAGAGGAATACGGACGTTGAGCCGTGTCGGGTCACCATTAAGCACACGGGTAAGGTACAGCTGCTTCATCTCCTTCTCGAGACGGCTGGGTAGGCCGGGATACATGCTTGAGCCGCCGGAGAGCACGACGTGCTGTAGAGCTCTGCGTGGATGCCGACGGCTGCTGCCTGGATTGTCTGGAACAACATTTCTGGTAGGTAGCCAGGTAATGAGTTGCCGGTCAACGGGAGGAGAAGAGGGTGACGGACCTGCTGCTCGACATCGGCGAGATGTGGTGGAACATGCATTCGGGCGCTTCAAAGCGTTCTGAGCCGACTTTGATTGTACGTCCACCTGGGAGCTGTGAGTAGATGGGTGAAATTGGTTGGTGGATTGAGTGGAACTGGAGGACGTACAGTGTAGTTCTCCACCAGCACTGTCGTCTCTTCTGAGAGTCGTGTATCCACATCAAGGTCGTAACTATCGTCGCTGATCACTTAACTAGAAGATACTTGACAGGTGCGGTGGTTTACGCAGCTGACATAACAGAGTTTCTCCTTGATCTCCCTAACAGTCTCAAAATCGGCGGGCGTATCCGCGCATGAGCAGTAGTTTGATGAGGTAGCGCGTGACATTCCGACCAGCAATATCGAGTCGGCGAGTGAGATGAGGTAGAGAGAACCCATCGTATACGGGGCACGATATGTGTCACTCCATCACCCGAGTCCACCACCACACCCGTTGTCAAGCCTAGTCCCTTGCAGCGTTGAGCAGAACGTCGGCGAAGCGGATAGGTTGGTTCCATGTGAGGCAAGCAAAGCGGTTGTCGACAAGCTGGACGTGGGCAAGGATCCTGCCAGTGGACTGAGAAATGCTGCGGATACGAGTATGGGTGTGACGACCCTCTCATTGACATGGGCGTTTTCACCTTCCCAGCCTCCGAGGCTATCCAGCACGTTGCGACCATCCCATCAGGAGAAATTTCGATGGCATGCGATGGCTGCTCAACCTTGTCTATGCAGACTCAGGCCGTGAAGTTCTTGAGTTGTATGAGCATAGTCTTCGCGTGATAGCTGATTTCTTGCTAGGCGATAAGGATAAAGATGAGTGAGAATCGTATACCGCGAATGCACTCACTTTCACAACAGGCTTGTTCAATAGACTCGATGTTGGGAGGACGTGTCACAGGTCACATGCGCGTTTCATGCCGCGTCGGAGTCACAGCCCGAGTAACTTGCCGCTCTAGTTCTTGGACCTGTTCTGAAGTCCAGTATTAACACCTTTCTAATCTTCCCTGTGAAAAATAAAGAAAGGCATCCATCAAGTCCTCAGTCCGTCCATCCATGGATACTATGCCGTTGTCATCCGTGAAACGATGAAAGGACTGTCTCGGGTCGGCTCTGTGGTTTCTACCCCTT